CATATGATCCTACAGATAATATTAAAGTTGTAAGTACAAAAAATATGGTACAGTCAACGGTTACTGCATTGAGATGTTTTTAATTACATCTCCGTAAAAGTAATGTGACTCCGGGAGGACGTTGTCATTTTAAAAGTAATATATCTCAATTTTTTGTGTTCATTTAATAACGAAACTCTATATAATGTGATCACTTTTCACAGAAAAGTGGAAAAATTTTGAGATACTTGAAACTTTATCTTATAAATTTAATAAAACTATTACCGACTCTGTTATCTTCTCATCTATCTAAAGTTAAGTGAATAACCTTGTCTTGTACGTGGTCCTGCAGTGTACCTACCATTTATCCAACTCACAAATTTTTAGTTTTTCGTACTGAATAAATAAAAGATAATTTCTATGTAACTTACTCTTCATCGCTATCATCATTCCCCACAGTTTCACGGGTGAATATAGGTCTCAAAGCTGAAAGCACGATTCTGATCAATATACATCTAACGACACAATGCACGTCTCACCGGATTCATCGACGCCTTATCTGCGCTAGCCGTCGTATCGTCCGTCGATCAAGAGCCATTATTATCATCGGTTGTAAGTTTGAGGAATAGAATATGTAGAATAGAATAGAGATTCCACACTTTCTTTTCCAAAGTCAAAATAGTTTTACCTTCAGTGATAACCTAGCAACAATTTAAAACATTTTTTTTTTTAAATCTAATCCGAAAATGGGGAAGTACAATTATGTATAACTGTTTTGGCTTTACAAAGCACTACAATATACAATATTGTTCTCTAGAAATCAAACCAAAACTCAGGGACGTGCGTTAGTTTAACCTCAATTGAGGAGAATGCAAACGCGTTTATGATATCACTACGGGAGCACTACGACTCAGTTATCCAGTAGCTTAAGGAGCTTAACGCTACATGTCTTACTGTTCATTTTCGCTAATATAGATGGGGCAAGCTGGTATGAATTGGCATCCTGCCTTTTGAGATAGAATTGTTTTCACAACCGTATTTAATTTTATGGCTGGATTTATGCTTAACAAAATAATCACTTTAAATTTGTCCCTAAAACGAGGTCTCGTTCTAATGAAATGGTTTAAACAAATTATAAAAACTAAGGACCCTTGTGCAAGTAACACAGTTATTTTAGAAAAAAAAAGTAAAAAATACAAAATAATGAAAGGAAAATAGAATATATTTCTAATTTTCAACAACGTTTTTAATAATATTTAATTTTTTCGAATATAACAATATAATTATTTCACTGTAATACATGAAAAAATATTAATTTTAATCAAAAGAATAATTTAAATAAAGTATAAAAAATATGAAATAACATAAAGTAGTATAAAAAATAAAATTACATAACGCAGTTTATTTATAGAAGTAAAAATTATAATTTTGTACATCTAAAACACTCATGGACAATTTTAGATTAACGAAAAAAGTGTGTTATAAGTAAAATATTACAGATGTTTGTGACAATTGAGTTTATTAGTTCATTTATTTATTAGTGTTGCTTTTGTCTGTTAATTTAAAATTGCAAATATCAAAAAAAACGATCACATAATGACAAAAAATAAACAAATATAGAAAAAATAATATTAACATGAAGGAAACATTTTTGTACTAAATATTTTACGCCGGTATTTCACTGACGTGGGCTATAATCAGCACTTAAAGGCAACAAAGTACTCGAAACAAATTTTTACGGATTTTATCGCGTTTAATGTTGACTTTTTAATTCCCGACGTTTTGGGTGCTTTACATTACCCGTGATCGCGGGGGGACTGGAGTGTTTTAACGTACCGATGTCTTAGTTAGCCGACTACTTTCAGAATTAAATCCGAATTTTTTTCGGATTTGCGAAACTGCGACACGCGTTCCGATATTGAAAAATAGTAGGAGGCATTTCTAGTGCCTTAGTATTCAGATTTCTGTGGAGTAAATGAATAGAGTTAACAGAAATTCAAATTGACTTTAAACGTCTGAAGGTATAACTAAATGTTTGATTATTCCTTAAATTTATTTTTGTTACCTACTAGCTTTATACCTATTTCGAATGGCCTATTTATTTCTCCAAGCTTTCATTAATCTCCATACTATTTAAACAAATAAAACTAATTAATGGTTTTGAAGTGAAAGCTTAGTATTAAAATGTAACTATATAGGTCTATAAATGAGATGTAATTATTTAAATAATTTAATTCAACACATTTTTGTAAGCTACGTTTTTGTTTTTCCCGTCCTTTGATAAAACATGAAGATTTTGTAGGCACGAGACGTGAGCACGCCAGATGTACGGCAGTTAGAACAGAAAAAGGTGAGCAAAATCTTATGGTCAAATATATTAATAACATACCAAATATATATATAATATAAATTGTAACAAACACAAAAAACCAACTCATCATAATATCACAGAACTCCTCATACTATACACTTATATTACTTCCATTGTGGCAAAATTTGATTCTTCTTAAAGTTAATACACATAAGCCTGATTTTATTTTGATATCAGAAACTTATTTACTTTTTAGAATTGATGATAGTCTTATAAACATAAACGGATATACGTTCTTGCAGTTGGACAGAAGAGAAAGAAAAGGGGGCTGAGTCGCAATGCATGTTGCACATGACATTATCAATTTACCTGTTATGTCAAAAGTAGATAAAATATATAATGTTTCTTTTGTTGAGGCATTGTAGTTGGATATACACTATGGATGCTTATATTTAATTTTAGCTTTTGTGCATCTTCCTAATTCAAATGTTTTAACAAGTACTCATTTCTTTTATAGGTGACAAACGAGCATACAAAAAAGGTAAAAAAGAAGCTAAGTTGGTGTGGCCCATAGATATCTACATCTATCCTAGATCATGAATCAAAATACAGATGAGTTGCTACCCTTGAAGACCAAGATGAAATTCTACATTTCCAGTAAAAGGGGTCTCCGGTTCTCTACACCCACCATACTAAAACAACAGTCAATATTAGTAATCAAATGTGAATCTTAGTAATATCTATTCTTTTTACTCTTGTTCGCAATTCTCATGCTACATTATGCGGTGGAAATCAGTATCATTTCGATTCACCGTAACCTTTTGGTACCTTTTGACAATATCTGCAATAAAACAAACCGAATGAGTTCTCTATCTCATAATAAAATGGCGTAAATCTGACTGAAGTTTAGGGTCTACCATCTATATGTATATTATATCATTAAAATGCCCACTTACAACTTTACACGAGACATCGTTAACTATATGCACCTTAGTTATCACCCTCTTTTATAACAGCGTGATATCATCGTCATCATTACAGCCCTTCACAAGTCTACTGCTGGATATAGGCCCCCCCAGGAATGCCACCAAGCACGGTCCTGAGGCATCTGCATCCATCGACTTCCTGCATGTTTTACCATGTCGTCACTCCATCTAGTGGGTGGTCGACCTACGCCTACCGGTACGAGGCTACCATTCGAGAACCTTTTTTTCCCCATCGGTTGTCGGTTCTCCGAGCTGTATGGCTGGCCAATTACCACTTCAGCTTACTAATACGTAATTGATATGGTAAGTAAATAACCGGGTCTAATTTTTCTTTTGATACTAGAGTCATGTAATTTAACTGTCCGAATATTCATCAATTTTTTTAACTCTGTATTCATATCAGATTTATTCTGTAATCTAAATTTTCTAGAGAAGCAAATTTACAAAGCCCAATTTGTTTTGATTTTCCTTCTAAACATGATGGATCACCATTTCGAAACAGAAGTCCAACTATATATCTGCCGTCATTATCCCTCAACGTAGTTGATTCATACAAAAGTTTACATTTCTGTTCCTCTTCCTTTAAAATTGTTTTTAGATAAATTTGGTTCCCGGCTTCCAATTCCCAAAATGAGCGAATTAAACTATTGAGATGAACTTCACCATGTAAACTCACTACATTAGAGTATTTAGAATGAAGAATGATTGAAAGATGTATTTTTGACATATAATTAATACTAGCTTACCGGCAGACGTTGTTCTGCCCTCTGACAATTTTTCATGTCGTATTAAAAATCTTTAAATTCGTAAACTCGGGTCACTCATGGGCAAAAAATTATCCTATCTCTCAAGTTGGACCAAACTGCACACGGTGTGCAAATTTGATTAAAATCGGTTGAGTAGTTTAAGAGTCCATCACGGACAAACAACGTGACACCTAATTTATATATATTAAGATAAAGTATATAAACAAGATATACTTTAAATACTAGGAACACACGATTTCTTAATTTTTTCAATTTTTTCGATTTAATACTGCGTAGATCGGAAAAAAATTAATAAATTTAATCTGGATCTAGCCATGATTAACTATGACATTGGGACGTCAAACACCTAAGTCCCCCCCGTGAACATGGCTGCTGTAACCGCAATACACATACTTGCAATGTCAGTAACTAGACTACGCGGAAATAGTAATTCATTTTTGAAGAAATTTACAACAAATTCCCAAGAAATGTTCAGAACGTAAATTAAAACAAGCTTGAGAATGGGGTGATCAATGCCGTGTAGGTTGTACTATTATTTATATAAGTCTTTTACTAAATATTATTATATATTATACAAAATATGGTAGTAAAACCTTGGGTCAAAAAATAAATAATACTACTGGATATCTTGCTAGTTCTCCTCAGGACAGAGGTATATCCCGCACCTGTGGTAAATAAAAATAACTTTCAATAAGTATTATGTAATAATCTATATTGAATAAGAAATTATAATATTTCTTATTATATAGAGTTGAGCACAATTAATAGCAAACTTATATCACGTCGTAGAGCCGTCGTAACTCAGAGGCTTGGTACTCGCTGTAAATTTCACAGTACGAGAGCAAGCCACGTTCGATCCCCACCGGCACCAATGAAATTGTTAATTGAAATTTTTAGTGCTGATTTACCACATGCTCGGCGGTGAACATAAAAACAGCAGTGAAACTTAACCCTCGGTTAGTCGCGCTTTTTTTTGTAACGTCGTTCGTCGCATGGGGTCTTAGAAAGACCCTAAAATAAATTAGTTAAAATATATAAATTTATATATTTAACTACATTATTTTATATTTTAGTCTTATTTGATTCAATATTAATAAAATAAAGTCAATAAACATTTAATTAATTGAATATTTATTGCTTTAACTTACATACTAGAAATAGGAACTAAAATTCTCTCCATGAAATCACTAGGCAATAAAAATTAAAAAAAATCAACAGAAAAAAAATCTATTATAAAAACTTAAGTAATCCAGATGAAAATGAAATTCTCTATCTTTTGTTATAAAATTTGGTACATTTAATCACAAAAACATATAAACTTTGATAATATATTGAAAAACTTAATTAACTTTCAGTATGAACACATTCAGTACAAATGTTGCCCTTACAAAAGTGACAAATAGATTTAAATTTCCTGTCTGTTCTTCGAGGACAATGAATACATCGCTTTCTCATTGGCACGACGTTTACTTCAGTGGTACAAATCTTCTTCAACTGTCTGTCTCAAATCAGTAGTTTCTCTCTCCTTTTTACTATGTACAAGTTACTGGACGAAATATTTATCGATGGTTCTTCATCCCAATCACTGAATGCAAATTCGAGAGCTTCCATAGATTCGTTCACCAACCCCAAACCCAAGTACTCTTCGTTTGATATTTCCAAAGATTCATCATAATTCGAAAATACCTTCTTCCGTTAAAACCGTGCTTCTCTCATGGTCAGCTGTATGTAGCATGTTCGCGTGTGTCAAATGCCCAGAATCTCCACATTCTTTCCCCCGAATGAAAAAACGTATAACATTGTGTACAGTAGCGTCTTAAAATAGTGTTCAGTTTTTTTTTCAAAATTCCCACAATCAATTAATCAGAATTCCCACAGATCTTCCCCTTCTTTTCAGTTTCTTTTCAATTCCAAATGCTGCACCTCTGACGGACCTATTAAGCTCAGTTTCCTTTCAACTCAAAAGGCTGCATCTCTGACGGATCTTTTTTATTTGGCTCAGTTTCCTTTCAATTCAGAAAACTGCATCTATGACGAATCAATTTAGCTCAGTTTCTTTTCAAAAGTCTGCATCCCTGACGGATAATCATTCGCAGTTTCCTTTAATTAAAAATATCCCATTTCCATTTGGAATAAACTGGCTATTTTCATGCTTTCCTATACGCTGCGTTTCAAAACATTTAAATAGGCTGACGAATCAATTTTGCTCAGTTTCCTTTTAATGGCTGCATCTTTGACAAATCTATAAAACTCAGTTTTCTTTCAATTCAAAAAGCAATGGATAGTTCATTTCCCAGTGACCATGCTGGCGAAGCCGCGGGTAACAGCTAGTTGATAATAACCTCACATTTAAAGCTTATATTGAACACCTGTCAAACGGAGTCCGTAAACTTATCTACATTTTTTTAACAATTACGTCAATCTGCAGATTCAGAAATCATGAAGATGGTTTATATGGCATTGTGTCAAACAATTTTATCTTATTGCATATCCACGTGGGGTGACATGGCACAGAGAGCTGTTTTAAAAGTATGTTGTTTTAAACCGCGTATGTTTCCTACAGACCAACTTTACGACTATTGCCAAGTATTAACAGTTAGACAATTATTCATTTTAACCACCGCTCTCAAACAACATGCCTCAACCAAATATATCCCTGAATGGACACGACGTAACCAACGAGTTGCAAAGCCTACTCAAGTTAAAACTGCATTTAGTCACAGATTCTTCACATTTCTTGGCCCCTATTTATATAATAAATTGCATAAAATCTTATCCCTCTTTTCTCGAAATCAATATGAGTGCAAAAACATTATTCTCAAGTGGCTCCTTAAGCAAACCTATACAAAAACAAAGTCTTTTGGAGATTGTCGTGCAAAATACATAAACATACACACACACACACACACACACACACACACACACACACACACACGCACGCACGCGCACGCACACGCACGCATGCACGCACGCACGTACGCACGCATTCACGCACGCACGTACGCACGCACGCACGCACGCACACTCGCACGCACGCAATCACGCACGCACGTACGCATGCACGCACGCCCGCGCGCGCACAGCACACACACACACACACACACACACACACACACACACACACACACACAGCACACACACACACACACACACTTTTCTAAGTTTTCTTAACCATAACTTATTGTTACAAGCTTGAGGTTCGTGACAATAAAAATTGCCGATAAAATTACCTAAATTAACACTTTAATTTACTTTACACAATTAAAGTTAAAACACTAATAATTTAAACACACTAATTCACTTAATTCCACTCCGAAGCTTCGCTTGTTTCGCCCAAATCAACACTGCTTCCATCGCATCTTGCAGCGCCTATATATTTAATTTAGCAAAGAAATATCCAGAATGTTCAAGTAAACACGCGGAAGGTACCGAGCGTTCGAGTTTCGACTAGGCGCTGTCGGTTGAGTAATTTGTGATGTCATTTTCTCAATGCTCCCCTCGCTCTCGTTCCTGACACTAGATGGCGCTAGTGTATCGTTGACTGGAGCGCGTAACACTGCCCCCTCCTAAGACATGCTCGTCCCGAGCATTATCGGCCCCATAATAACGCGCCAAGCGATTCACATGGACGATCTTAGGAGTCCCTCTTGCGCCTTTCTGTAACGGCTCCGCAATGTCAAGGGCTGTCCTATCCCGTGGTGCACCAACATTGTACAATTTCGGTGCTCCTCTACTACGTGTCCGAGGTCCCCGCACGGCCGCACAACTTGTACATGTACGACACCAATCCTCGACATCGTCACGATAATGGACCCAGTAAAACTATTCTCGGACCTTCAGTAGAGTTCGTTTAACTCCCAGATGGACTCTTGAACGACCATTATGGCACAACTGCAGAACATTCGACACTTTAGCTTTAGGGACAACCATTTGCAAACGACAGCTGTCTCTTCGACCATTGTCCCATTTACGGCACAGGACTCCATCCTGAATCAGCAAGCTGTCCCATTGGGCCCAATAGCTTTTCGTGGTTGAACTCATCGCTGAGACGTCCCTCCACTTAGGCTTGGTAGCACGGGCCTTCATCCATCCCAGAATCGGCTTGATGTCTGGATCTTCCTGCTGTGCATGTCGTAGGTTGTCCTTCCATTCGTTGCTGAGGTGGTCCGTCCTGAGCATCCTCATGGATACCACCTCCTTACTCTTTTGCCTACTACAATGGTTGCAATCTTCAGGACAAGGTCTTCTTGACAATGCATCTGCGTTGCCGTGAGATTTCCCGCTGCAGTGTCTGATAGTAAAGTCGTATTCCTGCTGCTGCTGGGCGGTGCTGTTAGCCGCACTTCCTTTCTGAGACCGTTCCCCTTCCCTTCCTAGGGTGTGCTTAGGGCAGCTGGACCGAAGATGGCCCCTTTCCCCACAGCCATAGCACCTAGGGCTGTATCTTTTATTGTGGTCGCGAACCGTAACTGCTGTAACCTCCCTAGCGTGAGGTGAACGATGATCCTGTCGCCGCCAGGCAGTGCCGTTAGCTGCACTACCCTCTCGAGATCGATCAACTCTCCTTTCCACGGTTCGTTTAGGGCAGCTGGATCGAAGATGGCCCTTTTCCCCACAGCCATAGCACCTAGGGCTGTATCCTTTGTTGCGGTCGCGAACTGTAGCTGCTGCAACCTCCCTGACGCGATGGGAACGATGATCCTGCCGCACGGCTTCTACCTCCAGTGCATGGGCCAAGGCGTTCTTAAGCGTCTCGTGGTGCCCGAGCCTCACAGCAGCTCTGACTTCCAGGTCGCGGATGCCGTCGATGAATGTCTGCACCAGGTTCCCTTCAATGAGCGCAGGTACAGACCGGTATGCTTTTCGCACCAGCTTCTCCACCTCTAGAGCCCACTGCTGCAGGTTTTCGTTGATGCGCTGCAAGCGATCTTTAAGCTACGCACGAAAGACGTGTTCCAGGTGAGCGTCGCCATACCTCGCCTCCAATGTCTCAAGGAGTTGCTCATAAGTCACTTCCTCGCCGAGAGCTTCCAGAACTGTTGGGGCCTGGTCGCGCAGGCCTAGTGTGAGAGCAGTCATGGCCTGACTTTTATTCCAGCCGTTCGCCTTCATAACAGCCTCGAACTGAATTTTGTAGGCTGACCAGGAAGAGGTACCGTCGAACGGTGGCACCTTGAACCCACGTAGCGAAGGTGTTGTAGCTACTACGGGAGCTGTAGCTCCATCTCCAAGTTTGAGTTCGTCCAGTGATTTCTTCATGTCAGCCATTACGTTGTCAACCCGATTGTTCACTTGGTCGATTCGGGTTTCAGCTTTCGCGATTTGGGTTTCAGCTTCCGACAGGCGGTTGTCATGCTGAGCAACCCTATCCTTCACCTCCCTTATCTCTTTCCCGAAGGTAGCGTGAAGGTCCTTCATGAGAAGCATCTGCTCTTCCAACCGACGGGCCTGTTCCTCTTGTCGGCGGGCCTGTTCATCCTGTCCGCCCCGCAGCTGCTCTTCCAATCGGCGTGCCTGTTCCGCCTGCTGGCGAGCCTGTTCCTGCAGCATCACCATCAGAGCACCTAAGTCAGGTGCTGCAGATGTAGGAGCTACCGACGGGCCTGCAGCCGGTGGCTGGTCCTCCGACGTCTGCGGCGTTGCACCACCAAATCTTCGTTGGTCCGTCTCCTGCTGGCGTTGACTTCGGGTACGGACACCCTCCGTTTCCTCCTTAGGTAAAATCGGCATGATTTTATCCCACTTCTGACACCAATTGTTACGAGCTTGAGGTTCGTGACAATAAAAATTGCCGATAAAATTACCTAAATTAACACTTTAATTTACTTTACACAATTAAAGTTAAAACACTAATAATTTAAACACACTAATTCACTTAATTCCACTCCGAATCTTCGCTTGTTTCGCCCAAATCAACACTGCTTCCATCGCATCTTGCAGCGCCTATATATTTAATTTAGCAAAGAAATATCCAGAATGTTCAAGTAAACACGCGGAAGGTACCGAGCGTTCGAGTTTCGACTAGGCGCTGTCGGTTGAGTAATTTGTGATGTCATTTTCTCAATGCTCCCCTCGCTCTCGTTCCTGACACTAGATGGCGCTAGTGTATCGTTGACTGGAGCGCGTAACACTATTATTTCAATTAGGTATGATAAATAAGGAAATAGAGTTAATCTCTATGTGTTAATGTTTTAGATATAAATAGCCTCGTAACGGTGGAGACCTGGTGACCTATAATACGGTTATCTTACCCACCATAGGCTCCAGCGATCCAAGGGCAAAATTGTGTTTGTATTGCTTATATGCTACTTACAACTCTAAATGTAACTTTGTTTTGTGGTGAGAAATAAACGTTAAATGATAATATTATTATTATTATAATTTCTACGTTTTCTCAGTTTGTTTTTAACAAAACTGGATTAATGGTTATTACCACGGGACAAAGCCAAGTGGATACCATGAACTTGTTTGGTTATGGGTAGTTTTCTGTAGAGATAAATTTTCTAACTATTCTACAAGTATTAAGTAAAACTGCTTTTTGTAATTGAATATATGTTAGTTTTGGTAAATCTAAAGTTTTTAATGATTGATGAAGCGCTTTTGATATTACACCAGTTGTAGAGAGGACTATAGGGACTATAATGGCGTTATGCAAATTCCACATTCTAATAATTTCATGTTTTAATTCAGTGTACTTGGAAATTTTTTCATTAATTGTTGTCTGTAAGTTATGTGAATTAGGTATAGCAATGTCAATAATAAGAGCACATTTATTCGCTTTATCTATTGATGTTATATCCGGTCTGTTAAAGTGTATTGTTTTGTCAGTAAGTATAGCTCTGTCAAAATACATTTTGTGAGTGGTATTTTCAAGGACTATTTCTGGTTTATATTTATAGTACACTTGAGTTGGCTGGTTAGTTAATTTATAATTAAAGTAAAGTTTTTGGTGAATGATATTGGCTACTTGATCGTGCCGATACTTATAGTCCGTCTGAACAATCGCTTTACAGGCACCAGTGATGTGTTGAATTGTTTCTGAAGCATTACAACAGCGTCTACATGTGTCGGTATTAAAATTTTTTATTTTAATAATATGCTTTTGATAATTGCGTGTCTCTATGATTTGGTCCTGAATTGCGCACATAAAACCCTCAGTCTCAGGGAAAAGCTCACCACGTTGAAGCCATGCGTTCGACGCTAATTTGTCTACGGTAGGTTGGTTCAAATCATGGCGATGTCTTCCATGTAGAGCCTTTTGGGTCCATATGTCAATTTTTGTGTTGTTATCTGTAAGTAACTCATTTTTTTGTAATGTTTTTATCATGCATATTAAGCGGTGTCAATTTATGATCATTCTGTACTATGGCATTGTGTTGTGATGATATTGCTGTTTTACCATAAAAGTAATTTTTTGAGTGTAGTTATTTGTCTATTATGTAAGTTAACTATGTCTATTACCCCTCTTCCTCCTTCATTTCGTGGCAATGTTAGTCTTTGTATGCATGATCTTGGATGGTGTTTACGGTGCCTCGTAAGAGATGTATTTATTTCGCGTTGTAGCTTTTTTAGTTCAGTTTTGGACCAGTGTATTATGCCAAAGGAATAAGTTAGTATGGGAATTGCAAATGTGTTAATAGCTTTAAATATATTCTTAGAATTTAATTGAGATGTTAATACTAAACGAAGTCTATATCGAAACTGATCTGTTAATGTATTTTTAATTTCTTTACGATGTATTTGTTTAGACTGATTATATCCTAAATACTTATACACTCCATTTTCCTCTAAAGATTTGATTTGCTGTCCTGTTTGCAACTGATAGTTATGTTCATAATACTGTCCAGCTCTTACTGAATTAATGTTGCACTTATCAGTACCAAATTCCATTCCTATATCTCGTGAAAATTTTTCCGTTAATATAACTAATTGATCCAATTCATCTTGAGTAGTAGCATATAGTTTTAGATCGTCCATATACAAAAGATGACTAAGTTTTTTTTCTTCCTTGTTAGTATGTAGATGATCTTGTGTTCTATGGTATTGTAAAGAGTACCCTATGTTTTTTGAGTTTAACATTTGTGATAAGGGATTTATTGCAAGGCAGAACCAGAGAGGACTAAGTGCATCCCCTTGAAAAATACCTCTCCTTATTGCAATAATATCTGTTTCTATCATTCCATCTAGTGAGTTAATTTTAAGTTTCGTTGTCCAATTAGTCATCGCAGCCTGTAAAAATTGTATTATGTTTGGGTGTATTTTGTATATTTCTAAAATTTTTAATAACCAAGTGTGCGGGATTGAGTCGTAAGCTTTCTTATAATCAATGTACATGCTAAATAAATATTTTCTTTTTGATTGTACCTGCTTTAATACTACTGCATCTATTGTGAGCTGTTCTTTGCAACCCTGACTAAATTTCCTACAACCTTTTTTGTTCTTCTGACAATATGTTATTAGCTTCTATGTGTTCATAAATGGTTTCAGTTAAGCAAGATGTAATTATTTTGTACAATGTTTGTAAACATGTGATAGGTCTATATTTTGCAGGATTGTCAAGATTACTAGGCTCTTTTGGTATCATATACGTTATTCCTGAACTAATGTATTGCGGCAAAGTATCCGGGCTTTGTATGAATTTATTAACAAAATTAAACTGAATCGGGTGGATAGTTGTAAACTTTTTATACCAATAGTTATGTATATTATCTGATCCAGGTGTTTTCCAATTATGCAGTTTTTTAATTACTTTATGGAAAGTGTCTATCTTGATGTGTTGGAATTGCATGGCTTTAATCTGTGATGTGTCTATTTGATTTTTGATCCAATCCGCTTCTGTATTATAATGTTTAGGTTCCTCCCATATTGTAGACCAGTAACTTTGTAATTCTCTCGGTGATGGTAAGATATTATTTTCAGAGCTTTTCAAACTGCTGATTTTATTTTTAAAAGGATTTTTTATATTACGATAGAAAAGTTTTTCATTTGAGCAAAATAGAATGTTTTGAGTTTTTCGTAGAGAGCATGCTCTATATCTTTTTAACCGACTACTAGTAAGTTTTAGTTTTTGTTTAAGTGTGTCTAAAAAATGTTCGTGTTTGGTGTTATGTTCTTCGTGGACAGAATGAATTTTATGTTGTTCGTGTTTGATTAATTTTTGACCTCGGTTTCCATTAATATATTGTGTTAGCCTTGCAATTTTTGCTCTTAATTCACTTACTTTGTTTTCTAATCTTTGTTCCCACTTTGGCTTATTATATTTCTTTTGTTTCTCAGGTCCTAACGGATTATCAACTTGTATAGCTATTTCAATTTTAGCTCCGTTGAGCTTAGCTGAAGTCCATGCTGCACAGTACACTAAATTCTGAAATGTTTTAAATTCAATTTCGCTGTTGATATATTGTGGCAATAAAATATTGTTTACATAGTCAACTATTTTACTCAATTTCTTTGATGACCTCTGCTTTGGTATAAACTGTCTTTCTGTTGGGTTTGTATTAGCAAAATATTCTAAAGCTTTAGCAAACATTTCATCTATGGCAATTATCTTTTCCCTATGTAAATTTTCATTTTCATTTGTTGTGTGGTTTTCAGCATTTAAATCTAAATTTTCTGTATCTGGTTCTTCGTTGTCTGTGATACCTATCTGAAGTATTGAGTTGTCATTGGCTTGTATATCGTTATGCTGTTCTTGCAAGTCATTCTTAATTGATTCTAAGCGGTCAACACTTAAATATTTCTTATGTAGAATTAATCTTCTTTGGTCAGCTATGCGTTGCTCTGTTAAATGACTTAAATGGGGGAATTAGTTTATAAACTCTTGGTGTAAGAGTTTCCTATATGCTATTTTATTTTTCTCACATTGAGTTATTTTGTAGTAAATTCTTATTATAGCTTCATTATATTCGTCTGTCCATTTCATGCATTGTTGTGTTTGTAAAGGGTGGGTATTAGTGTGTTGATTATTTTGTGTAACAGAGATTGATTGGGAAAATGTAGTCTGTAAATTTGATTGCATTTCATTATAAATTTGATTTACTATTTCTTGGGGCAAAAGTTTGTTATTCATTATTGCTCTTCGCTGATCTCCTATTCTTTGACGAGTAACTTGCATATCTGGGAATCGTTCTATAAATTTCATGTGTAATGGTTGTAAATAACCTTTAGTGTCAGTATCCATCATTGTTAAATAGAGGTAAGTACGCAATATAAATTCATTCATTTCAGAAGTCCATTTTTTACGCGTTACTGATGGTGGGCACAGTTTCTATAACAGGAGTTATTTTCTGTGCATCATCCTTCAGCAATTGGCTACTTGATGATAATAAAGAAGATAAAGACTGGTGTGAAATGTTTGGTATTGATTTTTGTCTATCGTTTCCGGGGGTATATAATCACTAAGGGTATCATCAGTGTCCGTGGATCTCGCTTGAGTCGTTTGACGGGAAATCTTCCTTGCCCGGAGATTGTATGCGCCCCAAGATACAGCACCATCTCGTCTTCCGCCAGAGTCGACATGGTTACTGAATCTGCCGGGCACTGGGGGCCGTAGTTTACGCCGTGAACTCATTTTTTTAAACCTGGTTTGGGATCGTTAGTTGGGAAAGGGTCATTAAATATTAATAGGCATAGAGATTATTCTGCCTTGTAATTGTTACAGAGTATAGTTGTTCAGACTGCAATTGAGTACATGCCTTTCCCTTAAGCCCCCCCACCACGACAAGGTGATCCCGTAGGGGGTTATTATAATTATTATTAGTGTATTCTCATCTGGTTGGGCTGAGTAAATAAATAAAAGGAAATGATAAATATACATACAGGCACTATCATCTGTTATGACATATGGGAACCAGTCTGGTGATACTGGACAATCGGTGTGTAATTTATTTTCAGAATACTTTCAATCAACTTTTCTCGTTCCCGACGCTAATAGCCGTACACCTAATTTTGATAATCAGTGCCAAGATAATTTTAGTATTGGTGACATAAATATAAATCCGAAGGAGTTTGAAATATCGCTGAAAACTACTAACATGAATAAAGGCGCTGGGCCTGATAGTATAACACCTTTTTTTGTAAGGCAGTGTGTAGATAGCTTGGTTACGCCTCTATGTATTATTTTCAAGCGTTATTTAAAAGAAGGTATAGTGCCAATGACCTGGAAATCAGTATTTGTACCGCCCGTACATAAAAGCGGTGACAGTTCTAATGTAAAAAATTTAAAGCCTATATCCAAGTTGTGTATATTTGCCAAATTATTTGAGAAAGTTGTCTACCGATAGATATATGCTACACTGCAGTCTTCTTTTACTCCTAAACAACATGGCTTTTTAAGGCAGAGGTCGACTTTATCAAACCTTTTAGTTTTTAATGAATACACCTCTTCACAAATGGATTCAGGGCTACAGGTTGATTGTATTTTTACTGATTTTAGTAAAGCTTTTGATCGTATAGATCACTTGCTGCTCCTTGAGAAACTGTACAAAGCCGGTATACATAGTAATTTATTTAGATGATTTTCTTCTTACATCAGTAATAGATCCCAGGCGGTTGCAATAAATGGTTTTATTTCTGCGTTGATAACAATTTCTTCTGGCGTACCTCAAGGATCTTTATTAGGGCCTTTGCTTTTTGTTATATTTATGTTACAAATATGCCAGAGTCTTATTATACGCGACGACACTAAGATCTTTATGGCCACTAACAGCTCTAGTGACTGTGATCGCCTTCAGTCCGATCTGAATAATTTTGTGCAATACAGTACTCAAAATAAGCTTCCAAGTGTTTTGCAAGTTTCCAAGTGTTTTGCTATGACCTTTTCCTCGTAAATTTAACCATATAAATTATCTGTATAAAATCAATAATAAGTCACTTAACAAAGTTAATCTATGAAAGACCTGGGTCTCATTCAAGATTCTAAACTCTTATTTGATAAGCACATTGAATACGTAGTGAAAAATGCCTCCAAGTCTCTTGGTTTCATTATAAGGTCTACATATGAATTTAAATCTATTAAACCGATTAAAGTACTTTATTGTGCTTATGTGCGCAGTATCCTTGAGTATGCCTCTGTGGTCTGGAATCCACAATATAACGTGTATACTTCCCGTATTGAGTCCATACAAAAAAGGTTCTGCAATACAAGTTACAAGTGTGTAAGCAATTAGACCATGGTTATGAAACGAGATGCAATAGATACCACTTCTTACATTTAGAAAAAAGATGGCAACTCTTCGATATTACGAATCTATTAAAAATTGTCGAAGGCATCATTGATTGCCCTACTTTGCTGGAAAAGGTAAGCATCTGGGTTCCGCGTAGATTACCAACTAGACGTACTCAGCCATTATATTTTAGAGCATTAGCCAGCAGTTCATTTATTATTCGTGCGAGCAACTTGTTTAACAAATTGTCAATAAATAACGGTGAATTAGAATTATTCCGTACCAAGCCTCATAATGTAAGTAGATTGTTTGCGTTGGAGTTCTTTCGCCCCCGCGCCGAGGGTGGAACAAATTCTTAAATACTCTTAAATTTTAAAAACACTCCTCATCTTCGGGGATTTACTTTGTTTATTGTTACTGTTATCATGGCTTCTTTACATTTAAATAACCATATGCGAATACCTGTAAATGGCTTTGTCGAAATGTCCAATTTGTATTCATGTAACGTTTATATGCTGTTGGTGTTCCAAATATTTTAAAAAAACCGCCGAGGGTTAGGGGGAAAGGGAGAGAAACCGGCGGACGATGCGGGCGGTATTCAGGAGTACCGCCTTCTGCATTTGAGCCTGGAGCGGTCCGTCACGGAGTCCCAGCCTCCTCAGATGACCCGAGAGGCTGACTGGGATTAGTCCGCTTGCAGAGACGACAACGGGAATAATTTCGGTCGGCAGACCACCCCAAATGTCGGTCACCTCGTGAGCCAGGTCCAGATATTTTGTTCGTTTATCTGTTTCGGCTTTCTCGAGGTTCTCGTCATACGGAATGGTAATGTCGATCAAAAATATCCTTGACTGTGCCCGGTCCATCAGCACAATATCAGGCTTATTCGCACAGAATAGTCCTGTCTGTGGTGATGGTCCGGTCCCAATAGAGCCTGGCGCGATTATTTTCGAGCACGGCTTCCGGCAAGTACTTGTAATACGGCAATTTCCAATCCACGAGACTGTATTTCAGAGCAAGTTCTGGTGAAGAATTCTGGCTACTAGGTTGTTTCTGTGCAAGTAATCATAGTTAGAAAGCGCCGAACAACCGAAGACACATGCCTAAGTGACTCACCGGGATGGCGACAAGCTCGACTGATGTCGACGGTGCCATCCTTTAGGATGTGTCTCCGATAGTTGTTGGTCTTAATAACCTTATCTTGTATTGCACAGACAAAACCCTCGGTTTCCCCGAAGAGGTCACCAAAGCGTAGCCAGTGGAGGGAGGCTACTTCATCTACGAAAGGCTCATGTAGAGCCTTGTAGAACCTCGCGTGGAGCTCCTTCTCCTTCCATACGGTCTCCCGGTCGGAAATGCTCTGTCGACATGTGAGTGCCGACAGTGCAGAGCCGGGCTAAGGATAGAGGGGTAAGTCCTTTATCATAAGAAATGACGTCCTTATAGAATGGATCATCCGATCTCTCCAGGAAGTAATCACGGAGGCTGCACACTTCGCGATTATGCATGGTGAGCGCGCTCAGGAAGCCACGCCTACCATGCTTTCGCGGCAAGTACAGCCTCAATACCGACGATCTCGGATGATGCATCCTATGGGACGTCATAGTAGTGCGGACTTTTCTATCCAGGGCGTTAAGTTCAGTCTGAGTCCACCTGAGTATGCCAAAGGTATACATGAGGACAGGCATGAACCAGCCATTATATGCGTGTGCTTTATTCACACCGGATAAAAGGCTGTTAAGCACTTTGGTAAAGCGTGCATAAAACATGTAGCAAACTGACTGTTTCATACCAGCCTCATCGATACCGATGTTCTATGATATACCCGGGTATCGGTATGTTTCAGCCTCGGAAAGGGTTCTTAAGTTAACTTTTTAAGTTTTTTAAAAAACTGGGGCGAATCTTCTTCTAAAGGTGGGTCACTTTTGTCCCTTCTTTCCATAGCTGAAATCCCCTCCCGGAGCCCTCCAGTAAGGTATTGAAGGGTACAGAGAGAGGCAGAACCAGATTGGACTCAGACAATCGCTCTGGAAGATACCCCTTCTTATCCTTATGTGGTTCTCCGCAGCTATCACCCGCTCGCCCAGATGACAAATGATCGTACTCTACTGCCCCATACACTGCTCGAGGAAGTCTCTAATCGTACAGTCTATCTTGTACAGCTCGAGGACTCTCTTTAGCCATGTATGGGGCACCGAGTCGAATGCCTTTCGGTAGTCTATCTAGGCGGCGGAGAAGTTCTGACGGTTGTGTTTCACCACTTTTCCAATGACCGCGTAAATGAGGAGTGGTTCCTTGATTCCACGATCACCACCCCGACATCCATTTTGAGCGCGCGACATCACCTGATTTGAGTCCAGGCGACATGTGATTCTCGCGCTTAAAATGGATGTTAGTGTCTTTATATGGTCGGTAGACACGTGATGGGGCGGTATTTGCTCGGGTCTGTGGTACCCGGGTCTTTAGGAACCAAATGGGTGATCCCAGTAGTGAAGAGGCTCGGGAGCGACTTTTGGTTTAGAGCCTCTTGAAACTGTCGGGCGAGCATAGTGTGACTCACCACGAACCCCTTTAGCCAGTAGTGATGCAGCCCGTCGATTCCCGGACTTTTCCAGTTCGGGGCCCTACGGACCACCTTAGCTACGTCATCCGGTGTTATAATGACGGGGTCCATGGGGTTATACTTGCACACTGACTCGCCACAACTTCCGTCCAAGGGTCCTCGCTGTGGTTTACGGTCTCTGACCACAGGCCGCGCGAGAATGCTACAGTGTCGGCCTGATTCGGTGCTGGGCCTGTTCCACTTACCATTGGTCGCTCCAATGATTCATAGAGCCTCTTCTGATCACTCTGGAAGAGACGATTCTAGTTGAACCGTGTCGACCTCTCGGTATATCGCCGAATCCGCTTTCCCCAAGCAGCAATTCTCTGCTTCAGATCATCTATGCGTTCCGTCAATTTTTGCGTTATATTCGGCTAGGACAAACTGACATTTGTCCCAGCAAACGCCATCCTGACGGTGCGCACAATTCTTGGCCTGTTATTGCCTGTTCTGATGCATATGTCTGCCGATGAGAGCTCTAGCCTTTACGATACGTTCCTCAATTCTTCTTCTCCATGCTGGGATAGCGCTACTTTGGCCAGTAGCGCGTCCAGCCGTGGAAAGCTTGGTGCTTATGATACGGCAGAGTGCCAGCGAGGCACTAAAAAGAATTGAGTCCGTCTCGCAAAGGTACCGGCTGGCTTCCAAATAGGTCACCAGCATTGGGTTCAGAGCCCTCACGACAGCCCGATTCCGCTTGCTTAGGGCTATGCGGGGAAGTCGCGGTCGATTTTTGAGAGGCGTAATGCGCGTTTCTACAATCTAATTCCATTTCCTGGGCGACTGTTTCATCATCGTTTGAATCAACCACAACTGGGGTATTCACGGCGGCATCCACGTTTGCGGGTTGCTCTACAATTTGTGGCGCCGCATCCTCAGCCGTAGCATTTTCATCCTATGAGGGAACAGCCTCACGTCGTAGCCGTTCGAGTTTGGCGACATTAAATATATTTGAGCGCAAGATATACCGAACTCGGTCTGCCAGGTTTTGCTCTGTGACGGTTAAAGATGGCTCCAGCTCAGCAAAAAGACGATGCATCCTAGCCCGATACGCCAAACATCCAGTTTCTTCCCTGTTTGCCCTAAAGTACGCCCGCAGTGTGTTTGCGTTCATTGTTTGTGACCAACGCATGCGACTTGCTCCACCAGTGGCGGGTGCCGCTTGCTGAGTCCGAGAAGACCCAGCCGACACCAAGCCTTCTGGTGGGGATGATGGATGCGGAGGGCTGCTAGGTGACCGTGCAGCTGCTCGCGTTCGGCTGGCGGCCCGCATGCTGCCGCGTCCAGCGCCAGCTCCAGACGCACCCCGGCGACCCCCTGGCAGCGGCCCTATGCGCATTCCTCTTTGTGCCATCATCCATTTTATATATATTATTATTATATATTATTATTATTATGTGGGGTATCTATATAGTTTTCTCATCTCAAATCATTATTATTATTATTAAAACAATTAAAATATAGACATCCGTACGTTAAGAATTGCGGACAATTTCTTGTAGAACTTACTTCTATTGACTTTACTTTGGAGAATTAAAAACGTACTTAAGTTTTCCTCCATTCCTATTGAGCTTTGAAGCTCTTTCAATTGAAGTTTGTGAAAAACAATTTGCGGGAAAGTGATTCTTTATGGAAGAACAATAGTGGTTTTAAGTTCCTTAAATTGGCTAAGTTACACAATTTTTAAATTACAATTATTAGCATAAAATATTTAATGAATTACGTGTAGGAATTATTCCATATTATTTTGTTGTATGGTGACGGCAATATCAGCTTCAACTAAAAGAAATTCTAACGAAATGACATGATCTCTGATAGATTGCGATATATACTTACATGATGTAAAATATCCGGATCAGCGAGACAGTGACTGGTCACAGCCTGAAAGGCCTGATACTGCAATTGCTTATTCATCTGCCAAGCATGGCAATCAAACCATACTATTTACGTCCAATGCAAAGGCAACTACAGCGAAACATAAATACCTGATTATGAACATATATTAATATGTCAACTAAATGTTATAAAACATAACCCAATAAAATTTACCAAAATTGTAACCAAACTAAAAAATTTGTAAAATTTGAACGAATAAAAATTAAAATTTCATCATCATCATCATTACAGCCCTTCACAAGTCCACTGCTGAACATAGGCCTCCCTCAAGGAATGTCACAAAGCACGGCCCTGAGCCACTTGCATCCATCAAATTCTTGCAAAATTCGTACGTCAGGTGGTAATTGGTCGCATGTTTTTATCGCATGACGCGGTCGCTCGCTTCTTTAATAGGGAGTGGTTGCGTCGGCGAGTTTTATAAAGAGCAGATGTTTTAGCTCGCCGCTAACTTATCGGTCAGCCGCCGCAGAGTCTACATCAACTGAAGATGCTTCATGTAGAGGCAAAATACGTGTTGTATCATCGTCGATGTTGTGTATTTCCTATAGTATTGGTGTTGAGAGTAGTGGTGCTGGGATTAGCGGTAACGGGATTACTGCACGCAATTGTGGGAGGGCGGGAGGTGCTCTTCAAACTAGGTAAAACACATCATTTTATTTTATTAAGCGGATGGTTGCGAAATAACTCTTAAAATCTTTAATATAATGGATATCCGCAAAGTAACACCTGATGCTAATAATTATTTATCCTGGTATCCTGACGAGGATCTTCAGGATAATTCCCTCTAGAATAATCAAAGCTCATGATCAATGCGTCTTTTTTCTTAAACCTTAATATTTTTTATTTTTTAATGCGTATTTTCTACCATAAAAATATATAATAGACGCATTAATATTTCATTTAATATTCGTGTAGTGAATATATTATGCTTCTTAGAGTAAGCATTGCTAAGTGTGGCAGTGGAAAGAAAAGGGGAGATCTCCCGCCGGCAAGGTGTTTTGCCCGGGGAGCGGCCAACACTCCGTGTGATAGTTCGGAGATGTTCTATATATACTGTTTATGATTCGGAATATTGATAGCGTGATTTAGGCTTCAGCGTGTTTCGCTTGTGGTTCGACGACAGCGACGGTACACTAAGTATTAACTACACTCATAGTAGGTATAGTAATCCCTAATACGTGACACGTGAACGTTTTAAGCTTCATGCATCGAAGATTGTAAACAGAGAAAATAACGTATAAAAGTAATGTTTACATTAATATAATATTGATGGTTAAGAATCGATAGTTCGATTTCAAAAAAAATATTTTACAGGAGATAAAAAAAATCTACTTCAAACAGAAAGGCACCTGAAATTTTATATCTAATACTGATCCGTAGGAACCCGAATTTCATTGACAATGACTTTTTGGAGGTCTGTTATTTCAATATGAAGTAATAAGTCTCATCACAATATTTTTGACACCGTAATGTTGTAGTTTCCTGATTCATATCTCGTGATGAACAAAATCAAAAGCCTTGCAAAGATCAAATAAAATATTTAAGGCACCTTTTCAACTATCCCAGGCATTAAAAATATATTTAATAAGCTCCACACCTGCGTCAGTTGTTGAGCGATCCCTTGTGAAACCAAATTGATTTTATAGAGTAATTTATTTTATAATAAAAAATGATCCAAAATTATCTTTTCTAAACTTTACTAAAAGTTGGTAGAACAGAAATAGGTCTAAAATTTGCGGGGTTCAATGTACAACCAGATTTAATTTCAATGTTTCTTTAAATACAGATTCGATACTAGTATTAAAATAATAAAAGATGAGGTGCAATCAAATCCATTATAAACGCAATAACTGTAACGGAAGTCTCTCATCATCATTATCATCATTACAGCCCTTCACAAGTCCACTACTGAACATAGGCCTCTCCCTAGGAATGCCACAAAGCACGGTCTTGAGCCACCTGCATCCATCGACTTCCTGCATCTCTTACCAGGTCCTCACTCCTTATAGAGGAAGTGAGGTAACCTTACACTACGCTCACCGGGTATGAGGCTGCCAATCGATAACCTTTTTTCCCCACCGGTTGTCGGTTCTTCAAGCTAAATGACCGGCCCATTGCCAATTCTAGTGATCTAACACCAAGCAATTGAGCGGAACCAGGGCTCCATAGTTTTTTCCAGAGTTCTGTCTGTCAGAAAAAGCCAACTGTCAAAGCTGAAGACTGAGTGTGGCAGCATCGTTTCTGGGAAACCTGAAGTATTGAATGAGATTGAGAGATTGTATGGGCAGCTGTACGTATCATCGTTGGAGCCACACGCAAGTGTGAGTAACGATCCAAGAGGAAGTTTTATTTGACGCTATTCCGCAGACATCCCGGACATCAGTCTGAGCGAGATTAGAATGGCTCTCCAGCACCTTTAAAATGGCAAGACCCCGGGCGAGTATAGAATTGCAGCGGAGCTTCTGAAAGTGGGTGGAATATTGGTACTTTCCTTCAGAAACTTTTCAATTCCGTCTTCCATGGTGGCGCTACCCCGGGGGCGTTGAGCAGAAGTGCGGTGGTATTGTTCTTGAAGAAAGGCGGCAACGCTCTATTAAAAAACTGTAGACCGATTTCCGTTCTGAGCCGCGTCTGCGTGCTGTTTTCGAGAGTCATTACGAATTGTCTCACACGCAGACTCGACGTTCCAGCCTGCCGAACAAGCCGGTTTCCCGAAAAGGCTTCAGTACCAAAGATCACATACACACCGAAGAGTACAATCTGCCACTTTGCTTATGTGTGCTATGAGAAAGCCTTTAATTTCGTCGAAATTTGGGAGGTTCTACAGTCCCTTTAGCGATGCCAAGTTGACTGTCGGTATATCAAAGTAAAAATAAAATGTTTTCTCAATTGACAATATAATATATATATATATATATATATATATATATATATATATATATATATATATATTTTATAAGATTGACATACACGGTATATTGACGAAGACCCTGTCGTCATTAAATCGGTTGATTAAGATGATGTATGCGAGACGCTATAGCATTGAGCTTACATTAATATAAAGCTGTTATAAATAAATAATTTAATTTTTCATTCCTACGTTACAGCTTATCAAATAATACTGCTGGACATAGATTTCTCTATAGATTGCATATAAAGGATGTCATGGTTTGGCAGGTAGGTTTGCAACCGCTGTTTTTACTATTTGAGCTTTTAACAGGAATATTCCGTTGTCTATTTCTTGTTTAAGTTTTCCTTTGACGTCGATACGCACATGGTATATTTGATTCTCTTACGCCGTCACTGCAGCATA